GGCGGCGGCCCTTTCCGGGGACCCTCCAGCGGGCCCAGGGTGAGTGCTGTAGTCCCCAAGCGGGGTTCCGGGCCTAGCGCCCCAGCCGTGACCCCCGCCTCCCGGGCCGGGCGGAGCGGTCCCGGCCTTGGCGTGTCCTCACGGCCCTGTCCTGTTGTTATCAAGGGCCGGCTTCTTCACCCTTTCTACCTCGGCATCTTGTTCTGGAACAAAAATCGAATTTTACTGACAAAACAAACAACAACAACAAAAACCCCACCTATTCGGGGTTAGGAAGCGGGAGGAAGTCTGTAAGCTTGGACCTGGGCTTTTTTTTTTTTTTTTTTTTTTTTATTGCTTCTCTTCCTAGGGCCCGCGTACCTCACAGTGTGACCTTGAGTCTGTCGCGGTTTTGTGTGTTTTGTGTGTACGCGTGTAAAACCCGTGTAATTCAAGAAAGGCCTTTGGGAGGCCCTGAACTGGCCAAGACGTTTGTCTTTGCTCGCTGGTGGCTTTGCCGGCTCGCTCTTTGGGGTGCCCTCTCGAGCTGGGTTCCGGAGCCCTTATAGCCCTCCGACCTCCGTTTGCAAAAAATGAGCTCTTGTCTTAATTGCCAAAGCCAGAGCCTTGGCTTAGGAGCGGGGCGCATTCTCTGGGAAGAACAGCGCGCTGCCCGAATTGGTGGCGCTTTCTAATTGCAGAGGACTAAAGCTTGAGCCCAGTAGTGCTACGCAGGCCTCTGCGGGGGGACGGTGAATGAGAATGTGTGTCTCTTTCCCCCCCTCCCCCCCCAAACTCCCGGTGAGAAACACTCTCAGCCCCTGGGCTACTACTAATGAGATTCCCCAGAGAAAAACTAAAGAGAGAAAGTAGGATGGTTCAGTCCCAGTTAGTATTCTGAGCACGCACTTAGATTGTTTGAGGAGGGGTGGGGTGAACAGGATCTCTTTTTTTTCTTGTGGGGGTGGGGTGTCCAAAGACTTGTGAATTGAGATAGCTTTTTCAGTAGTGTTGTCTGTGATGTTCCTAAGGATTGCTTTTTACTGAGCTGCTGCTCCGGGAGGAACTGTGCCTTGTCTCCCTTCCTGTCCTGTGTTTGTCTCCCTTCCTGTCCGGTAGAGCTACCTCGTTCTAGGTTTTTCTGTCACTCTTTTCTCTTGTGAATTTGTTGTTGTTCATAGATACTGGATTGGGGTTCTTTCTGTTAATGTTGAATTCTTTATAAATTCTTGATCTGAGTCCCCTGTCAGAAGTCTAGCAGACAAAAATTCTGTAAACTCACTCTCCTTTCAAATTTGTTGAGAAACTTTTTTATTTTATGCAATGTCATTTGCCAGTTCTTGCTGTTATTTCCTGGGCTCCTTGGAGTCCTTTGCAGAAAGGTTATGCCTCTGTAGCCGCAAGGTTTTTGTCTGTTTTCCTCTAGGAGATTCAGCGCCATCAATTCTTACGTTAAACCTTGGATCCACTTTGACCTATTTTTTGTAATAGTTTTTTTTTGTTACATGTACTTAGGTGTACAGTAAGTTTATGTTCTAAGGTGTTGATTAAATATTTTCTTTAAAAATAGATTTGCGTTTTAAAAAATTAAAGGCACATTAAAGAAGAAATTCAATGTGGGACCCCAATGAATTTGGGAAATATTACTGATGTTTGGGTATGGCCAGGACGCGGACTGTGACATCAGTTAAGAATCTAAGGGAGATTTTTCTCAAGTTATACATCAAGTCATGTAGTGATTACCGAGCAGACTCTAAATGGCAGAGCATGTGGAATTAAAACCTTAGCCCCAAATTAAGTTTATTTGGCACCAAAGAATGTTACGCAAAGTATCAAATTTAGTGAGGAAGAAAAATAATTAGATCTCGTCTATTTTATTGAAACATAAAAATTAAACACTGAGACAATAGAAAGTTAACAGAAAAGTTTTCTTTACTTTTGAAATTTAGGTCATTTAACTTCAGAGGAAGTTAAAGCCCTTTCAGTGACAGCTGTCTGTTCTTGGTTCCTGAATCTTTTCAAACTAAAGATTCCTAAGTTAGGATACCTGTCATGGGATAGAATGTGGAGAACGTTGACATATGCTCCTAGGAACAAGTTACTCTGAGGAAGTCACACTGGGCCTCACTAAACTCAAGTGAGGCTTAGGAAAGTTACACTGGGCCTTATAAGGGCCAACATAAGGTTAGGTAGGACATTTCATTTTCTTGATATGCTCTGCTTTTCTGTTGTAGGACTTTGGAGGTAGTCTCTCTATGTAACGGAAGCTGGCCTTGAACTGTTTCTGTTTCAGCCTCCTGAATGCTAGGATTATTCACCACTCAGATATATGTATGTGTGTGTGTGTGTGTATATATGTATATATATAGAGAGAGAGAGAGAAAGAGAGCGCACTCATCCCTCTATATGTTTTTATATATTTAGTATTTATTTCTGGTTCTATGTTTTAAAGTAAAAATTTAACTGAATTTCCTTACTAAATAGATGATATGTATATATACATTAGTTTAACCTGAACTTGTCTTTGGTCTGCCAGCTTTCTAGATAAGTCTTACTTTACATCAGTGTTTTTCAACCTTCCAAACACTGTGACCCTTTAATACAGTTCCTCATGTTGTGACCTCCAGCCATAAAATTATTTCATTGCTACTTTATAACTGTAAGTTTGCTACTGTTATGAATATATGAATTTATATATGAATATATATACTTGATATGCAGAATATCTGATGTGACACCAAAGGGGTTAAAACCCACAGGTTGAGAACCACTGCCTTATATGGTGACTAGTCACAGGGTTCTGTCTGTAACACTAAAACTTGTGGAAAGCTTGGAATTCTTTCTCTGTTTGTTTTGTTTCTTAGTGTCAAATTGTATATTTTTATTTGAAGAATTTCCAGCTAGGTCTCTAATAATGGCGTCATCTAGCTTCTCAGTCACTGTTTTTTTCTCCCTCAGGGACAAAAGTGGCTCTCAATCTAGCACGTGCACATTGGAGCAGTTTAAGGATTTAATATGAAGCGCAGAAGCAGATAGTGCCAAATAGCAAGCCTGTTGTTTCACATTTGTAAGTAAAATTTTTTCTTTGGTTCTGTTTTCTTAGTCGTTAAACCACCTGCATGTCAGTTCCTTAAACAGCAGACATTTAGGCAAAAAAAAAAAAAAAAAAAAAAAAATTGAAAGTAACTAGTTAGCAATTGTAACCCAAGTAGGTTTGCCACACTAAGCAACCTCCAAGGAGTATACTTTAAGGCCTGGAGTAATTTCTGCTTTAAAACAAAACAAAGAAAGTGATGATAAAGACATCTATATTGAGCCAGGCGGTGGGCACACCTTTAATCCCAGCACTTGGGAGGCAGAGGCTGGTGGGTCTCTGTGAGTTCAAGGCCGCCAGCCTGGTCTACAAAGTGAGTTCCAGGGCAACCAAGACTGTTACACAAAGAAACCCTGTCCCAAAAAACAAAAGGATAGCTATATTACCTTAAACTAATTTGCAAAGTAACCCCTGTGATTAAGACATTTATATTGTCTTTAATGTTTTATTGCTCTTGACCTATAATTACTTTGCTGGGAACTTAGTGTAGTTTGGCTTCCTTCTCAGGAAACCACTTATGCACCAAATTTTTAGGCAACCTCAAATACATTTACTTTTAGCCTTGCATTTTCTTCATGATTTTTTTATATCCTCTTAGAGTGTGATGAGAGGAATTTTCTGGCAGCCATATTTCCCCCAGTCTCACTTCACTTTTCTTTATATAGTGATAGAACTTTCAATTACCCTCATTGCAAAATCATGAACTAGCGACTGTGCTTGATACCATCTTTCTGACTTGTGAGGTGCTGTAGAGTGACAGTTGAGACATTTGAAATCTGGATTCTCAAATCAAGCCATTTTAAGTAAATAAATACTTTTATTCATAGTTCTCTTATGAAATGAATTGTTGAAATACTGATTTTTATTCTTTCTTTTTTACAGCTGGAAAAGCAGTGTCCGTGTTGTTATGTACACCTCCAAAAACAGTTCAGATCTGTAGGGGAGTTGTTGTAAAGTAAACAGCTACAGGGTAGCAGTATTACTAGCTATTGTAGACGTATTTGCTCTGTTAAAATGAGTAAGAGAACGGGCAGTGACACACCACTAGGAAGGTCAGTGAAACTTTTTTCAGTTGAGCTGGTTTTATAGGTTGGACAGACAGTAGCTTCAAAGCTGCTTGCCATAAGCTAACCGTGCTCTTTTATGCTTTCCTTAGCATTTTTTTATTTGGGGGCAGCATTCTTTCGACTCCATCTCCCTGGAATCATGGATCCCTCTCCAATTTAGACGGTTACTCAATGCATTTGTACTATTTTCCCTCAAAGATATTTGATGCTTCTCAAAACTCATGTATGAATATGATCCTAAATATAGGTTAGTATGTGAACATTTAAGCCCTGAAAATAAATGTGTATATTAAGGATTTATGGATATAAATCATGTATTTGACATTCATTGCATCTCAGTCATCAGATTCATTTGCAATAAGAAGTTTTGATTTGCACTATGTAATTTTGAGGGAGTTATACTTTTTTTTGGTAAATTGAGCATTAGCCTTATTTACCTTTGGATTCTGATTTTCCTTTTTGATAGGATTTATTTCTTGCATGATGGCCAATTTCCGATTTCATTGCTATTAAGCCCAGGCATATTCTTCCACATAATTAGGATTTTTTTTCCTTTGCAGTTTTAAAGATTGGACTGGGGCTTCATGCATGTTAAACAAGCGCTCTACCTCTGAACTATGCTCTTAGCCTTCTGATTGGGAATTTTTAATTTTGTTTCAGGCGTTTTTGAATTGCATATTGACTTACACAGAGAATGCTTATGTGTATGCATTTGTATTGTGGTTATATAATACTTTAGAGGTTTGTACCTACTCAGTGTCCTCAAGGTTTATTTTCAAATAAGTCAGAGCTTTATGCTGAGGAAGGTGTTTTCTTTGATTCGGTTTTCCTTTCGCTTATAAGTGAGAAGTTTCCTTTTGCCCTTTCTGTTGTAAGGTATTGTCTTCCGACATCACTGCATAGAGGAATTAACATCTGCACACTCATTTATCCTGATCTTCACGTTTTCCTTCTGTAGGGTGAGTGGGGCAGCATTTCCTTCTCCCACTGCTGCTGAGATGGCAGAAATTAGTCGAATTCAGTATGAAATGGAATACACCGAAGGTATTAGTCAGCGGATGAGGGTTCCGGAAAAGTTAAAAGTGGCGCCAGCAAATGCTGACCTGGAGCAAGGATTCCAAGAAGGGGTTCCCAATGCCGGAGTGATTATGCAAGTCCCAGAGAGGATCGTTGTTACAGGTATCTCACGCTTGATTGGAAGTGCCCCAATAAATCTTCTCTTTATTTTTATGAACATTTAGGTTTTTCAAAATATTGAGAAAAGGTATTTTTACAAGTTTTACAAATGTATGTAACCCCCGCAGTCCTGTTACAGAGCATTGTCACCTCAGAAGACTTCCTGTTCCCATTCTCCATCATTCCCAGTCCTTCAGCTCTCAGCAGCCATGATCTCTTTTCTGTACCTAGACAGTAGATTTGTCTTAGAATCACCTATAAATGTAGACATGCAATATATTTTGCTTTGCCTCGTTTGTTTTGCTAAGAGTAATCTTTTTCTCATTTTTTTTCTTCAACTGTGGGGCTTTGTATCTTGTGCGCTCGGGGCGAGCGCTAAGCTCTGAGCTGGACTTGCCGCTCCCTGAGTAGCTCTCACTCATGAGGCAGAGTTACGTTTGCCTGCTGCAGCGTCCGGTCCCTGTCCCTGTCACCCTCCTCCTTCGGCCCTCTGTACTGCTCAAGTTACAGGCCTGCCCCACCAAACCCTGTTTACTTCCACTTTGTTTTTATTTGGGGACAGAGTTAGTGCACCCCTGAGGCACTCGGGGTCCTCCTGCCTTAGCTTCTGAGTGCGGAATTGCAGACTTAGGCTTGTTTGCATGGCTAGTGGAATGCTTTTCTGAAACTCATCCACATTGTTGCAAGTGTTGCAAGTGTTACGTGTTCATTCCAGTTAACTGGTAAGTAATATCTATCATTGGTTTATCCATTGATATTTAATGGACATTTGTGCTGTTTTCTTTTTGAGATCATAGGATGAAATATATAGGAATATTCATGTACAAACTCTAGTAGTATATATACCTTCATATCTCTAGAAGTGAAATGACTTCAGGTTATATTTAACTTTTTCAAATGTTGACAAATTCTTTTCCAAGTTGGCATGCTATGTTTCTTTTCAATCAATGTTTGTTAGTTTTAGTTGTTTTATATCCATTTCCCTAATGATTGATTATTTTGAACATGTGTGCATGTGGTTTTAACTTATTTACTTTTTGTATTGATCACTTTTCTATTGCTGTGATAAACAACATGACCAAAACAATTTGTAGAAGGAAGAGTTTGAGTTTAGGGTTGCAGAGGGATAGAAGTCCATCACTGTCACTGGAGAGGTTTGGTGACTGAAACAACAGACTGAGAGCTCACATCTGGAACTATGAGCCCAAAAGAAGAGAGAGAGAACTGGGAATGGAGTAAGGCTTTTCATCTCAGAGCTCCCCTGCCGTCCTTTCCTCACCAGTGCCCTTACCGCCTAACCTCCCCAAATAGTGCCATCAACTGGGGAACAAGTGTTCAAATGTGAGCAAGATTATAGGGGACATTTGTCATTTGAATCATGTATTCAAATGTTTTGCCAATTTGAAATATTTGTATACTTAGAGGTTGCTTGAGTTTTTTGGTTGTTTTTGGTCACACACACATATAATAATTTCTGCACCATGGTGTTAAATAATTGTTGAATACCAAATACCAAAATGAAACTATTACTGTCAGGTAGGTTGTAATACAAATCTGACAGGGCGTAAAAACATTAAACAAACACCCCCACCCCCTTTTCCCCCTAGGAAATAATGAAGACATTTCATTTTCAAGACCAGCAGATCTTGACCTTATTCAATCTACTCCCTTTAAACCTCTGGCACTGAAAACACCACCACGAGTGCTCACACTGAGTGAGAGACCGCTAGATTTTCTGGATTTAGAAAGACCACCTCCAACTCCTCAAAATGAAGAAGTAAGTAGAGTTACCGTCTCTTGTGTTTGAAAGAATATAGGATAAAGTTAAAGAAGATTGAAGCCACAAAGCATGCGTTAGCCATATATGTTAAAGTTTTCCATGTGGCAGTATTGGTGTCAGTTGATTTTACAGTTCCCTAAATAAGGCATTATGGGTTTGTTTTTGTTTTCTAATTTAACAGTTTTGGTGGAGAAGTGAAAATCTTGGAAGAGCAAGTATTGCTACCATTTATGTAGACTTAGAAGAAGAACAGCTACAACTGTTATACCTACAATGATGCAGAAAGTCTCAAAATTTGTTTCTGGTCTCTGAGTGCTGGAGATTGAGCCAGCACTTGGACCTGCTAGGCAAGCGCTTTACTATCCTCCTGGGAAAGGAAGCTTTGCACTAAGAAATAATGACTCTTCCATTTTGTTATGGAATCATCTGGCAAACAAAACTGAGAAAACCTTTCTCTTGACACTACCCATTCCTGCAGCTTGATACGAGGTTCTCACCAAGTTAGTAACAGTGATGTCCCTATTGACAGAAAGTTGGCGTTAAAATGGACTTAAAGAGATTAACAGTAAAATTAAAGTCTTGTCAATGACGTTGACTTAAGACCAGTATCGAAGCCTGTTCTTAGAGACAATGTGCTGGCATACGTTTTTTATTACAACTGGCACTCCTCTGTCTACTTTAATTTTTCCGTTATGCATTTCATGTAAACCAGGTCAGTGCAATTCCTAGGACATGCTCTTTTTTACATTTAGTTTCTTCTTAGGTGATTGAGCTCACATGCTCATAGACACCAGAATGAACATCCTGCATATCTTAGTGAAAAGCACTGCAATTGGAGTATTAATTATGGCCCAAAATTGTCTAAGTTACTTCTAAAATTTAATTTAATTTGGCAACCATTTTTGAGATTTTATGTATGAAGCACTGCAGTAAAAAGTATAGTACATACCTGCCCTCTGTAAGTTTTCCATCTGCATAGTCTCAGCAGGACAATAGGACGAGGTGAGGAGATGACATTAGTGCACCCAGAGCTTCTCAAGTTCTTTAATAACGGGGAAATGGATGGACTCTTTCGGTATGCATGCTGGCTAACTTTATATCCACTGGACACAGGCTAGAATCATCTGATAGGAGGGAACCCCAATTGAGAAAATATCTTCATAACCTGCATAAAATGGGGTTGTAGGCAAGCTAATTATTGATTGGGGCGGGTGAGGTTGGCCCATTGTGGGTGGTACCATTCGGAGACTTATATGCCATGCGGGGTCATGAGTTCTATAAGAAAACAAACTGAGCAAACCATGAAGAGCAAGCCGTGAGTAGCAAGCTGGTAAGCAACACCTGTCCATGACATCAGCTCCTGCCTCCACGTCCAGCCCTGTTTGAGTTCCTGTCCTGACTTCCTTCAGTGGTGAACTGTGATATGGAAGCACACGCTGAATATACCCTTTCCTCCCCAACGTGCTTATGTCAGAGTGTCTCATCTTAGCAATAGCAACCCTAAAACAGTATTTGCAGTGTTTACCAATATTTGGAAGGCACCTCTAGACAAAAACATTGCTTGGTAATCCTACCTACCGAAATTAATAAAGAGCTGTGCAGTAAGCCATGTGAACAGAGCCACAAACTTGAATGTTTGGATCATGGCCGTTCTGAAAGTTTTTAGATTAGATCTGACTGTGTGATGAAGGAGACAGAGACTTTCGCATCAGCACTACCTCTCTAAAAGGAACTTCCCTAGGTAGCTAGTGCCAGGGTGAGGTCTTTCAGAGGCCATAAAAAGAGGTCTATGAAGAAGAGGTAGAAATTATGCCTGTGCGCTTTGTACCTTGAAGATTGTGTTCAAACTAGAGATTTGGAACCTACCATCATGTCTGTCAAGCAGAAGTATGCTCTGAAAAGATTAACAGTAATAACCTCCAAAGGCTCTTTGAAAAGTTCACTTAAGTACAAAGAGAAAGCAGACCCCAAATTAGCTGTTCCTACTTTAGAGAAAAGTACAGTAATGCTATTCATTTGTAAAATAAACCAGAAGAGCACTGAACCCCCTTATGCACACAAGAAGTATCAGGTGATCTAGGAGGAGCAGTCATTTGGCCTGTGAAAACCAGGACCTGATTTTGGAAAACAAGAAAAGAATATTTACACAAAGGGAGCTTTTGTTCAGTCCAACAGGCCTAAGCAGAAACAGTCAAATCCTGCATCAGTTGTGTACAGATGTACAGCCAGAGCTGATATGCAGCTCAAACAGCCTTATCGTGGGTATGCTTAGCACTAAGTGCTCCTGGAGGCTGAAGATTACGCAGAAAGCCCTGGGTGTCTGTCAGACGTTAACCTAGCAAGCATTCAAGGCAATCAGTACCCTATAATGGCCCAATATAGTTTATAAAAACAGCATGAGATGAGAAGCAGACCATAGCTGACCTGAAGTATAACAAGCCACACTAGTGTCCCCTTAAATTCATTGATTATGATGACTTCCAGGTATTCAGTGAATGCTCCAGTATGTCCTGCAATGGCTAAAAATAAAATCAGAAAACTCATGCATATGAATCTCATCACAATTCAGTGACAAATTGTTTTACTCTCTTTTCTTCCCCCTTATCCATGGGAAGAGGAGGTGGGAGGCCAGGAACAGAAAAAGGTTAAAATGAGAACCGTTTTTGTGGTTTTATATTGTGCACATACACCCATGGGTGATTCATTCACGTGCACCCAGTCTTTGTTTGGATACCAACTGCACCCTTGTCTTGAGTTTCTCTTGCTGTGGTTAAACACCGTGACCAAATACAATTGGGGAGTAAATGGTTTGTTTCAATTCCATTTAACAGTCCATTATTGCAGAAATCAAATCAGGACTTGACAGGAGCTAACATAAAGACCATGGAGGAGTGCTGATTGCAGGCTTGCTCTCCAAGGTTCACTTCACTTATTTCCTTGTAGCACCCAGAACCAGCAGCCCTGTGTTGGCACCACCCACAGTGACCATCAGTAAAGAAAATGAATCATGGGCGCTCCCACAGGCCAGTCATGGGGCAGTTTCTCAAAGTTTCCTCTTCTAAAATAGCTCTAGAATGTATCAAGGTGGCATAAAACTAACCAGCATACCCTTGTCATAGGCAAGACCTCTTCACAGTGACACATTGCTCGTGCCTCTGTCCCATAACCTTAATCATTGTCTCAGCTGTTCTCCTTGTTAGTTACTCTAAGTTTTAGAAATTGATCATATTTGCAGTGGGGAAGATGTCCACCCGAGGTGTTCTGTCCATAACCTCCTTCTTTTCCCCATTGCTCCAGTCAAGGTCCCAGAGAGAGCAAGAAATTATGCCTGGAGGGGGTAGCACTTCATAGGCTGAAACAGGAAGATCACAAATTCCGGGCCTACTTGTGCTGTATTGTTTTAAAACAAACAAAGACCTTAAAAAGGAGTGTGGGGCAAATGCTGAGGTCTTTTAAAACAGATTTTGTTGTTGTTGTTGTTGTTCTCAATCTTTTGTTATTACATTTGTTAACTGTATTGTCTGATTTTCCTTAACCTGTGATTGCTCTGTAACTTGTACAAACCATTTTACAATTTTAAAATACTAAGCTACCATTTAAAAAATGAATAGATTTTAATGTAGTGATGGGTTTAATACAAGTCTAGAGAACCAGTAAACAAAAGTATAAAAGGGCTTTGTTGTTTATGCATATTGCTTGGAGTTTGAATACACTAGAGGAGACTATTAATGCTTGTGTATGTCGTCTCTAGTGGTGTGTACTGTATATCTAGACATAAAAGGACTTATGACCCAACTTCAGGGTGTAGCCTGGAACAAAGCAGCTTTTCCCTTCCATCCCTCCCATGTGGAAAAGCTATTCCATTTTAAAGAAAGCAGCTGTGGCTGCTAAAGTAGACAGGCAGGCAAGTCCCAATCAGATTCTTACAAATCAACACAGTAGTACTTGCTATGCATGAATAAAATATACTTGATCATGGCTGTTACATTTTTGGGTTAACCTTAAAAGGTATGCGTGTGCACATGCCTGTGGAGGCCAGAGGTTGATGTCAGCACACACACAGATACACATACACAAAGAGAAAGGAAAAAGAAAATTTAAGACCAAGTCTTACCTGTCTGTAATACACAGGTTTTTCTTTTTGGTTGGCTTCTCTTAGCTCCTTGTATTTTTATGAGTAGTCATGGATGAAGTTTCCTGTGTTTTTTTTTATGCTAAATAGCTTCTAAGCTACTAAGAATATTCCATTTTTTCCCTTTGTTTTTGCCTTAACAGATCCGAGCAGTTGGCAGGCTAAAAAGAGAACGTTCTATGAGTGAGAATGCTGTTCGCCAGAATGGACAGCTGGTCAGAAACGATTCCATGTGAGTAGAATCACAGCATTGTAGCTTTGTTTGTAGAAAAAGTCATTGTAGATTTTCTTCTGTATTTTGTCTGTACATATCTTTTTCTAAATCTCAGTGTTTAAAATCTGTTTTACGTCGATGGGTAGCACCTTGTACTTGTACTTTCTGTAGTTATACAGTCTAACAGTTTTGTCTGTTGTGACAGCTTTTCAGTCCTGTTTTCCTCTTCTGTGTGTCTGTCACTTTTAAGGAAACTGAATATTCTTTCTCCTTCACTTTTTGGTCAGTCTTCATGAACTCATCAGGAACCCTTTGTGATGTCAAGCATCATGTTAGCTTCTCTGGGAACTCAGCAAACAGCCAGCAATGATACGTCTCCTTTGAGAGCTTACAGAATAACTAGAGCACAGTACAATTAACGTTCTTACAGTGTACCATATTAAGTTATAGTTGAGACCTCTCTGCAGAGCAAAATGGTGCAGAATGGGCTCTTTGGGGGACAGGGGGTTAATAATCAGAATTGAAAGAAGACTATTTTTGTCTTCTCTTTGAAAGAAATCATATGAACAAATTCACTGGCGTCTCTACCTAATCAGTGAAGTTGTATCCCAAATGTAAGTTTTTGTTTGCTATGTTGAAAGTTTTGTTCTTTTATATTGGATGCAAGGAAAAATTGAGTTATTTGATAACTTGGAGTCTCTCATGGTAGTTGGAGTTATCCTGAAGGATCACATAGGAAGAATTTAGGTTAAAATGAATATATGTCTCCTTTATGGAAGACTATCTGAAAGGCTCAAGCATTAATGATTCAGTTTTCCTAAGGTATCTTATTGGATATCAACAGACCCATGAAACACATTTTTCTAAAATTGTTTCCAAATATACACATAGTAAATAGACTCCACAGTTTAGTCGTATGGCTGATGTGGATAAAGCAGCTCTAATCCAATTACCTTCTGTGTATAATTGTGTAGTTTTTAAGGCCGCAGGATCTTCTAGTGGGCTTTCCTACTATTTAAATTGTGACTTGCTGTTTAGGCTTTTAATTGACCTTTTGTATCATTAAAATTAAAACATGATTACTTCAGTATTATATCAACCTTTTACAAAGTATGTAGTATTGATGGCAGAGTTTAGATAAAGATAAAGGGAAAAGGTCTATATGTAAGTTCCTCATAACACAAAGGTTAAGAGCTAATCAGCACTTTATTCTCTTTAAATTGCCTTCATGGAATTTTCTATATATCTAATAAAAACAAAGATTTTGATATTTTGCCCATTCTCATACCATTGTTCATGTTACTGTTTATAGCTAAATTCCTAGTTAGAACTTTCTTATGTCTAATTAACCTTAGGTCTTTGTATGATGTGCATACAATGGGCTTTGTTCATTTGGTAACATGAAACTATCCATACCGCTACAGTTACATCTGCTACAGAAATTGTTGAGCTCTTCCTACTTTACCCTATTTTTTTAGATTGATCATAAACTATTATGCATGACCCTTTTGACTATAAACTATTATGCATGACCCTTTGTCTGCCTCCAATCTAGTTTATTTTACAGCTCATGAAGAAAAGTTTAAATGGGCCGGAACTTTGTTTCCTTAATTACTTTTAAGAAGCAGTGAGGTTGATTGTTGGCACAAAAATGAATTATGACAGTAGAATCATAGTAGAATCATTTTCTTGTTATAAAAGCTGAATATGTAAAAGAAACGTAATTATTATTTAAGGTGGCACAGATCAGATTCTGCCCCAAGAAATAAAATTTCAAGGTTCCAGGCATCGATTTCTGCACCGGAGTACACGTAAGATTTTATCCGCTCTATTTTTCCCAAGTAGGGGTTGCTTTAATTTTGCAGGCTTATGTTAATACTAATCTGTTTTACCACGTAGCTGACACATAATACCCTAACTCTCTGTTCTAATACTTCCTCAGGATTTCTCAAACTGTCATTGTATTCTTTGGAACTGGAGGGCAATTCTAAGGAAGTTTTATATGGTTTGGGATATAGAAGAAAGGAAAATGAAATAATTTCTGTACATAAAAAGCAAACCCTTTTCTCTGTTCTATATTTTGCTTTGGTTGGCCTGTGAGTCCTCTGCAGATTACACCTAGCACAGTTCAACAATCCCAGTCATGTTTTCACATTTCAACATTTTTTTCTTGTTTTATTTTAATCCAGAGAAAAATGAAATCTTAAGTGTGGTTTGTCACTGAAATTGGTTAGTTTGTTTGTTTTATTTTGTTTCCCTGTAGAAAATTATGTTTGGAGCAATTTTTTGAGATCACTAAAGTCTTGTTTTCTATAAATATGACAAACAGTGTCTAAGAATGACTGCCCACTCTTGTCAGTGGAACATTTTGGTATGAAGTGTAAAACTTCATGTGCAAGGGTCTGGATTCAGTACTCAGCTTTCACACACACATGCATGTACAGATAAACAGCGCTGTTCCCACACAGCAAAGGAATCCACACTGATGGTTGCCCATCTCTTCCTCTGGTTCCTTGCTGTACTTCTTTGAGTTACTAAATTGCCTTAGTCATAGTGGCAGCAAATTATAGTTCTCTCTGTTTGGGGTACTGGAGAGGCCAAGTGTGGTACCACACACATTTAATCCAAGCAGAGAAAGGTAGAGAGCTCTGTGAATTCTAGGCCAGCCTGATAGACATAAGCTACGTTCAGGACTTGTATGCTGAGACATTGTCTCCAAAAAATAAAAATAAAGATCCCAGAAAAATTAATGGGAGTTTGTGTTTCAATGAAAATGTTTTTCTTTTTACTTTTTCAAAGAGGCTAGTTCTTCAACAAAGACATTAATTAACCTCACAGTTTGAGAAGCGTCATTTCTATGAAAACCTGTGGCAAGAGCTCTCCTGCTTTAAACTTTCCTCTTAATGAGTTGCTCCAAGTCACTGATTTTCATTTAGTTCTGACACTGACTAGCCACTACCTATTTAACCCTTGTGTGTCAGAGTCTGTGAGTGCGAGGAATAACATGGGGAGCATGAGTGCTGCCTCATAACTTTTAAAGCTTCTGTGTGAGATACTAAACTTGAGAGTTTGCTGTTCTATAACATTAGCAGCAGATAATTATCAAAGTGCATTTTATTAAATTATGCATAAGGTGGTATTTGTTTAAAGGCCTGACTTGAGTGCCTGCAATATGTTTGTATTTTCTACAATAGTTGACTAGTCAAAATCAAACAGTAAAAACAAAAATGTAACTAAGTGGGCAGAGGTGAAACCCTAACTCCAAACTCGCTCTGTCCCTTCACAGTTGGTTTCAGTAGGAGGACGTTAGAGCCCCTCTGAGTGCAGCATTATTCTCTTTGTTGTTGTTGTCTTCAATGAAATCTATTGGTTAAAATGCATACAAGAATACCTAAAGTTGCTAAATTATTCTCCTAATTCCTAATAAAAATTGCTAAATTATTGTTTGTAATTAAGATATTTTCTCACTTTACAGTATAACCAATCAGCTTAGAAGTGACCCTTCCTGTTGTGTTTGTGAATTGCCCTGTAAATGAGTGAGAAGTTAAACTGAAACAGCCAGAAAATCCTTTTGTTTCTGGTTAATCAAGTATCTTTAATAGTATGATAATGACTTCATGTCATGATCTGGGAAATGTAGTTCAATAAAGGACAGACTTGCTTAGCATGTCTAAGCCCCTGGGTCTTGTCCCTGGCACTGGGGGAAATTTTTTTTTAAGATGTTGTTTTGTTTTATAGGACTTTATTTCATCTTTTGCTGTCCTACGTAAATATTTTTGTTAAATTGGTTAGAGATCGTATAAGTTTTTTCTTGTTTATGACCATATCACATTTCATATGATCATATAATCTTAGAATTGGAAGACATATGTAGATGTTTTTATTTTAAATTTATTTTTATTGATTGATTTTCCTGATATGCATTAAAATTATCATTAAGAATATAGTGAGGACTTGTAGATTATTTTAGAATCCAACCTTCTGTTCATTCCATCCAGAGAACTCTTTGCCATTAATTTGAAGTTACTTTAAGCTTGACTATTTTATAAGATGACCACCTCATTTCCTGTGTATGTATTTGAGATTTCTTTTTCTCCTTCTTTCATTTCTTTTTCTTTCCTTCCCTTCACTTCATTTCACCTGCTCACCTCAGGCATGCTAAGTAAGTACTCTACCAGTGACTTATGTTCTCAGCCTGCTTTCTGAATTTAAATAGTAGATAACTTTATCTTTTTATATTTTAATGGAGAAAAATCCGTCAAACTTTATTATAAATTTGGAACCCATCCATTGACATCAATGCTTTAAGATTATAATTCAAAATACTAAAAATAAGTAATACACTCATTCTACAGCTAGTATACTTGTTAATGGGCTATATAGAAATTCTCGTGGTGGACCCTAAAACAGTGCTAATGTAAAACTTGCCTAATGAAAGTTGCCCAGTCTTGCTGCTGGCTTTATCAAGAATTGTAATCTTCCCAAACCTGTAACTCAGTGGGGGTGGTGTACATTGAGTTTTCCTTCTTCGGCTATTGTAAATATTGGTCTGTCTTTCCATCTGTCAGCTTATCTGTGTTTCAGCCCCAAAGGGGACTCTGCTAGGAGTTTCTCTGCTGTGAGCCTCAACTTTGCCCCCTTTTCCCACTCCCCAATATCTCCAGGATGCAGTAAATAGTGACACAGAACTTAAGTTTCCAGTCCCATTCCTGGTGACAGCCTGGCTTCTTGCACACAGGCACTTCAGGTCTGGTTCTGTCTAGAGGATGTCTGTGTGCAAGCCCCACATAGGCTGCACTTCAGCCGCTCTAGGACTTGTGTTTGCTTACTTCTATTTCTTTCTTTTCTGTTGTTGTTGGTTTTTCCCCAGCTGTGCTAGAGTATTTATTGTGGGATTTGCCAAGTCCTAGGGATCAGATTATGCATTGGTATATTTATATGTGTATGTAGGTATATATAAGATTATACATTGATATTTGTATAAAGGTATATATCAAATATGTGTGTGTGTGTGATACATTGATATATTTTTACCCAGAAGAATTCCAGTCTACTGACATCTAAAAACGTCAGTTTGTCTTGACATCGTTAGGCTAAGTTCTAGAATTTCTGTATATGCCAGGATTTAGCTTAGATTTTTCTCTTTTAAACAGTCTTTGGAAAAAAGTACAGATTTTATATTTATTGCATTTTTCTCTTTAGATCATGAAGATATTGAAAGTTGTTCCTAAACTTAGAGATTTTAATTTTTGAAACTCTAAAGATATTAGGTAACAGTAACCATTCTTTCCCAAATTGTCCTGCTTCTTTTAAATTTTAGTTTCCATACTAGTTCATGTTAGCAGGAAAAGACTACAGAGTTTTTCTATATGCAACTGGTCATTGTGGTTCTGCCTTTTACTTTTGAATGTTGTACACAAAAATTAAAAATAGCCTCGCTTTGGTGGTTCACGCTTTTAGTTCCTGCTGGGGCACAGGCAGGCAGGTCTCTGGGTTTGAGGCCAGCCAGGGCTATAGAATGAGACCCTGTCTTAAGAAGCAAAGCAAGACAAAAATTAAAAACAAGGTCACCCTAGTGAGTTTTGCTCCCTGAAACTATCAAGCCTCAGCTTTCTGTAAAGAGAAAAGTCTCAAGTCCATGGGTCAGTTAGGTGTCTCAACATTAAACAGCTCTCTGAATATACCAGCACAGATATGAAGAATTTAGGCCAGAACTGTACAAATAGCTTTGTCTAAATGTGCTCAGCACACCAAAAGAAACTGTGAATCTCAGCTCTTAAGGAAGGAATTGTTGTCTCTGGGAAGCCAAGAAATAGTTGTTCATCTGCCCTCGTGGTAACTGAAATGCCCTGTCTTCCTTCATTGTATTCCCTTTGTAATCCTGGGAAGTTTTATGTTTTAGTCATTTAGCTAATTAAATTAAACAGTCAAAATGCAACTACAGTTTTCTGAGGATTTAGCTCATCATTTAATTCATTTCCCATCAAAAACTCCACTTGCTTTCTTGTCTTTGTGAAATGTTTGAAATGATGTCTTTATGTACTCATGCTAGATTCATGTGTTTAGATGTTGATATTTACATACAGAGTCCTGGGTTCCACTCTATCATCCATGAGTCGTGGCAGTGTTGATTCTCAGGTGTTTGCTTTACTGAATTGCTATGTATGAGTGACTCTGAATAAACCATGCCTCCTTTCTCCTGTACCAAGCTCTGAGCACACTCATTGCTGAATTCTTTCCCTCCCAATTGTTCCTTCTGCTCAGTTTGATACTTAGAATTACAAACCGGCTGGTATTGCGTCATGGCTGCTTTTTAAAAGAAATTCAAAATGTTTTTTAACTTCTTCTGCTTGACTGTTCTCTTAGGATAGATTGAGTGAGGGTGGGAAATGTGGGCAAAAAAAAAAAAAACAGATTTAAAAACTGCTCTGCTGAAGTTTTATGAAAATCTGACTTGAGTGTTTTTCTCTTCATTTGCTGTGCTTATGTGAACAGTGTGACACCATCGCCACCACAGACTCGGGTCTGTCCTCCCCATATGCTACCTGAAGATGGAGCTAGTCTTTCCTCTGCCCGTGGCATTTTGTCGCTTATCCAGTCCTCTACCCGTAGGGCTTACCAGCAGATCTTGGATGTGCTGGATGAAAATCGCAGGTGACTAGCCATCAGTGGCTTTGCTGCTCTGTTGCGTCTGTTTTGGCTCCTTCCTTAGTGGACTGTGGTGTTGTCTTTTTTGTTTGCTTCTTTTAGTCTCTTTCTAAGATGCAATGATTGAAATGGCTTGCTTGCTTTCCTTTCGTTTGAAATTATTGTCCAAACTTCACATTTCACAAGGTTATATTAGCTTTCCCTCAGTTGTAAAAGGCATTTTGTTCTGCACGTAAGAAGTGCAACAACTTTTTTCAAAAGCTTTGCTGACCTATTCTGAGTGCTTGATTCCACTTGAAAACATGGTAAAGGAACTGTTGGACTGAGCTTACTACTTGTCTTCAGTCTTTTGATTGCATTCCCTGTTCTAGTGAAGTAATAAAGAAGGCAGGAGATGTTGCTGTAGCTCCCAGTACACTTTTCTATTAGCTCTGGATTCTAGGCCTATACTAGAATTCTATGTGCTGTTACCATTTTTGGATACTGGTATTTTTCAGTATATCCAGAGATAATACCTCACTTTTGAACATCTCTTAGATCATTAGAATTATACTTCAGTTTGTTTAAACAGTAATTTTTTCCCATCATTTAAAATACCTTTGTCTCGCTTCATTAACTCGGAGTATTTTAGAAAGATGGAGCCTCAGAGCTTTGTTGACATCATGTGGGAAGTCAGATAACCTTCACTCCAGCTCTCACCGTTGGTCTAGTGGCTTTGAAAGTCGGTGTTTTTGTCTTCCTTTTATTAGACTGTTAGTGTTTGCATTTTTGAAGGAATCCCAATCAATCAAGCCTTAATTTCTTAACCTGGTGTCTCTGGCTTGCTCAGAACAAACTTGTTCTTGCTGGGCCTTTAGTCCTCTCAGCTCTTCTCCTGTGCCATTAGTGTCTGGGCTACCCATGTTGTTGATCCAGGGTCTTCTGGATCCAGATCCTGCCTCCTGAGGTTAACAGAATGGTGCATCCTGGGCCATAGAACTTCACACTGTAGTGAAGAAAGCTTTGAAGCCTACGGCACTAGGAACGAATTACTATACATATATATGTCTGTATATATACAGAGATACACTTTTTAGTTGTTGGTTTGTTTCTTTTCCTTTAAGGGTTTGAGTCCCTTATTTTGCCCTCTGAAGCTTTGTGGACTCTATTTGGAAGTGATGGGCAGCAGCAGGGTTCAGAAGGAATGGTGTGGACAGAGGGAATCTCAGATTCATTCCTAATTCTGCCACTCAGCAGCTAACTGCATGCTGGCCTTAAGCATATAACTTGTGTCTCTTTTCTGGGCCTCCGTTTCTTCATCTTATGAGAAGGTGAAGATGGGATTATACTTGGCTAACTAGATTATTGACACAAATCTTCTGCCCTTCACCATTATTTAAAATGTGAGCTGATGGCCTCAAATGGCTTTCTTGGTGCAGCAGGAGATCCAGAAAGCACCGGCCTTAGGAGCTCAGATTGATAAACGCTGCTTCCACCCTCTTCTTTCAAATCGTTTTTTTTTTTTTTCTCCACCAGATGCCTTCTTTAGCTTTCTCGTTATAAGGATTCGAATGTAATCCTTAGGAGAGATTACATTCTAGGGTCAGAATTTACATGGCCAGTGCTATTGTACTGAAGACATCTGGATGAAAAAGTGATATCTAGATGATATGTAGGTGAAATCATCACTAAGTGACAGAGTTACCGTCCACTGTTACTCTCCCTCCTCCTGCCTGCACATCCACAGCTCAGATACAGGGATGTGGCACTTGGGGGAATGTGGATTTTTTTCCTCTATGCTGAGAAAAAAATTGCCTAAAGTTCAAGTATATAAAATCTGAATCTTACCAGCATAAAATTTGTATGTTTTTACTATGAAAAACTATTTAGAACACTAAGTGAATTTATATTTTATTTTTACATTATAATAACTTCAAAATTATCATACTAACCCAAATAAACTTTCTGAAATTGAAGAAAGAGCTAGATGTGGTGAATCACATCTTAATTCCAACACTTGGGAGTCTGAAGCGGAGAATTACTCTGAGCTCAAGGCCAACCTAGGATATAGAGTAGAACTTAGAATCAAAAATCAAGAAAGAGCTGGGCATGGTGGCATATGTCTTTATCCCAGCAGCACTTGGGAGACACAGATGTCTTTGAGTTCCAGACCAGCAGGGCCACATAGTTTCTAAATAAATCCCATCACTTGTTACCATGGGTCCCAGAAAGTGAGGGTCTCCTCAGTCTCACTAGTGCTTTCATTACCCAGAGGGTTTGGTTGTTTGGTTCTGTTTTAGTTGTACAAAGTTTCATCAGCATTTAAAATGTCAAATCAGTTTTTATTTCTGCTATGGAAGACGTTGGCCTAATTTTTCAAAGAAATGGGAATGTGAAATTTGGATAATGCTCTACTTGCATGATTATAAAATAAGAACTCTTAAACAGTGTTCAGCGCTTTTATGTTCCTTGTTTTCATCATTTTTTCTTTTCTGTGTTATTGCTCTTGGCTATTTTGTTAATACAACATCTTTGCACTTGGGACTGCACTGCACATTAAATGTAGCGTGTTTAAACTAGAACTGTTTGTCAGAAAAAGTAAGAACTTCCTGCTTCTTTTTTATTGTAAAATGATGCAGATTCCTAGTTTCCCAGCATACAAACTCATGTTAATTTATATGTTAAGTGGCACTGTGTGCTATACTGGGTTTTCTTTCTCTGGTGAACTTGGTTCAGGTAATCTAAACAGCACGTAAACCAAGTGGCTTCCTAAGTGCTCTTACAAAAGTTCATACACAACAGTTAGTGCTGAACATTTGGAAAACTGACCAAAACATCAGGAATAAACGATCACCAGGTGTTCCCTTCCCAGTTGGTAGCAGTACAGCACTGTTAAGATTTGTCCTATGCTGGGCAGAACTTGCCCATCTCTTCTATATTTGTTAGAGCTATGCATCTCATTCTCAGTGTAAAATACTAACATCTTCTAGAGAACTTAGTCTGTTACATGTAAAACATTATTTAAGCATTAATACATGAGTTGTGCATAAGCTTTTAGGGGGGTGGCTTGATTTTTTTTTTTTTTTAGTTTTTCTTTAGCAGGCTGTATTACTTTTTGAATGAGTGGAATAAGAAACCAATGTATGAAAGGTTTCTATTTTTGGCAAGTATCCATAAAATATGTAACATGGAAGACTATAGTTCATAGAGTATTGTGAAGTATGTTGTAACTTTTAATTCTTGGTCCTCCAATCAGCCTGTTTAATTACTATAATAGTTGATATTTTGTAGAAAAGAAATGCATTCTCTTAATTTAGAGCATTTATTTACTCAAAAATGTCAGTCTACAAACTAATACTAATATTTGGTAGTCTTAGATTTCCTTCCCATTTGCTATTCTAACTACAAAATACACTATTGAACTTTTTTTAATATTAAATCATTCTTATGGTAGAAACTGGTACTTGAATGAAGTTTCTAATTTTGCCAAATACCTGTCTAATTTACTTTTATATTATATGTATCAATTGCCAGTGTGAGAAGACAAAATGAGATACGTTGTGAAAGGTAACTGTACTGTTTATCGCTCTGCATTTGTAAAGGGAAATCTCTGTGGTGGAATGTTCATATGGCAGGTCATGTTGTCCATGTTAACACACTCTTTAAAACCCTTCAGCAAGTACACAGAAGTGCTTCATTTCGCTAGCCATTCTCACATTTTTATAATTTAAGTAACTGCAGTATATAGTTCTTCTTACTTCACAAAGTAGAAGACTTAAAAACCTATCTGAAGAATGTGTGCTTCAGCATGTTCTACAGCGAGCAGAATGAGCCAAACCTGTCTCTCCCTCAAGTCTCTTAATCCCTTTTATTCTGGGCTCCAAATATATCCTTATTTGGTGCATATAGTACTGGTAGTTACTTGAGGGCATACAGAAACTCAACGTTAAATTTTTCCTTTATAGACTGAGGTTTTTTTTTTTTAAAGTCACATATAGGGGCTAGGACTGTAGATCAGTTGAAGTGCTTGATAGCATTAAAAAGGGCCAACCTTTGCTTCCCAGCTCCACATCAAGTGGGGTGTGGAGGATCAGAAGTTCAAGGCCATCCTCAGCTCCACATAACGTGGGGCCAAACTGTGGTATATGAGACCCTGTGTCAAAAAAAGAAAAGAAAAAATTAAAAGAAAATGGTGGTTTATATTCCACAACTGTTACAACATCAGAAAAAGATAGAACATGTGTTTTCAAACCTTGTGGTGGTTGTCAGTATACATACAGTGAGGCAAACCTGCTGGCTTAGAAGAATGTCCATACACGGACCCTCTTCTCATCTCTCTCTGATTATTATCTTAAAGACAGTTCACTGGTGCAGCTTTAGAATATGTTTCTTGATTTTAACAAATTTGATTGGAAAGGTTCCAACTTAATCTGGTAGAAGACAGACTGTCCTGTCACCTCAGAGCATGGACTGAGACTAAATGAAAAGCCCCACAAAGTTTTCCAGTGCACTTGGTCCTAACGCAGCCCTGTATGTCACTCGTGGTTGTCTCAAGCTCAGACACTCACATACTGTCGTCTCCCTACGGGACACAGTTGCCCTAAGACATATGGCTTATTTCACTGATCAGAGCTAATGAAGCAAGAGGGAAGGAAGTGTGGGCAGTGGGTATTTCTTTCAATTCCTAGTTTATACTTATGACAACCATGATCATGCAGGTGCTACTAACAGGTTCTTGATATGCTTTTAGTGTGGCTAGTGGCTATATTTTTTTCAGTTGGAAAGAGGAATTACACTTTTTAAACAGCACCATATGTTGGTGCTATTTTTCCATATTGTTCTTTTTGTTTTTTAATTATGAAGTGTTAAATTATGAAAATCATTTAAAATGGGAAGGACATATGAAACATTTCAAAGCATTTGAGGGACATTATATTGTACTGGAGCATACAATATAATCCTATCTGACTTTATTTGTCTTGTTTTTGCTTTATTTTTGTACTCTGTTTCCTGACTCTGTCTTGTGTCTTCTGCAAAAACCTGCCCTAGACCTGTGTTGCGTGGTGGGTCAGCTGCCGCCACTTCTAATCCTCATCATGACAACGTCAGGTAACTTGGAGACTTTGTGATTACCAAAGGACACAGAGATTTGATGGAGCTTGTATTGTGCAGGACGTCATAATGCATGCCAGAACCATGATTGTATACATGTATACAACATAGGCCTCTGCAGCTTTCTCTTCCGAGAAATTCTGTATTTTGCTAAGAGTGGGAACAGTACTTAGTCCTGACATTTGTCCATCAATGTATGAGAACATTGTATAATAATAAAAATTATGGTAGGATATGGTAGTGTATACCTTTAATCCCAGCACTCAAGAGGCAGAGGCAGATGGATCTCTGATTTTGAGGCCAGCCTGATCTATATATATAGTGAGTACCAGGCCAGCCAGAACTACACAGTGAGACCCTGTTGCAACACCTCCCACCACCACCCCAAAAAATATGGCATGGTATAATAAGAATATCCGATATACTTTACAGTCAGTATTGTAGTAGATTTATAAGGGATTTTGTTAAAATAAAGAAAAGATATAATCTTAAATCTTGTTTTATGTACATAACTTTTTATCACCTATTGAGTTGAGCCTTTGTCTCTTCTGTTTACCCTTTTCATATTATCAGATATGCTAAGCCCAAGTCATATGAAGGGACAAGGTGTGGCAGATACAAATGTGATCTTAGGGACCATAACCTTCAAGGAGTTTCCTGTCTTCTGTAAGGACACAGAAGACAGATGCTGTCACTATTGATGCTGTTACTAATTTTCCAAACCAGTTTTAAATAGAATTGTGCTAACTTTTCTTCTCTTCTTCAGAAGAGCCTGTCATGCTATAAAAGAGAAAAGGGAACCAACCATCCATGCATGTTTTGTTAATCTCATCCATGTTGCCTTGGTGTCCCTGGCCACTGTGCTTGCTCATTTCTTCTGCATCCTAATTTAGGCCACACTAGTTTCCCCTGACAGTATTCTATTGGTTTTTAATCCCTTTTAACTTTCTGAGAAGGTGTTTTCAGTGAGTGGAGTTTTTAGTTCTGAGAGATGCAATATTAGTTTAAAATAATTTCATACTTTTTTGTTTTAAATTGAGGATGAAATCTTAACTTTTTTACAAATAAAAATTATCTTTATATTTCTAAAACTGGCTTAGTATTAAAATGGTAATTTTTCATGTATACTTTATTTCTTTGTTAAGACTAGTTTTCTTTGTGCGGTGTGTGTGTGTGTGTGTGTGTGTGTGTGTGTGTGTGTGTGTGTTGATGTGTATGAACATGTCTGTTCCTTTACTTTTGTGTATGGCAGGGGGTAGGAGGTATCTGTGGTTGGAAGTGCACATGCATGCAGAGCCAAAGGTCAGCCTTGGTGTCATTCCCCAGGTGTTATCCGCCTTGGTTTTTGAGACAGGGTTTCTCACTTTGCTTGGAACTTGCTGATTGGGCTAAATTGGCTTGCCTGCAAGCCACAGGAATCTTCCTGTCTCTGCCTCCCCAGTACTGGGATTACAAGGATGCTCCACCATGCTCAGCTTATTTTTGGCATGAGTTCTGGAGATCAAACTCAGGTCCTCCCTTTTTGAAAGTAAGCATTATTGGCTGAGTGTCACCAGCCCTGCATTCACCTTTGATCCAGGTGCTATGTTCTTTGATAGCCCCTCCAGTTACTCATTTCCTGTGTGACCTTGGGGAAATAGAAAAGTTTTATTTTGAGCATAAAATGTAGAAAGGAAAAGATCTTTGACCCATAGTTTTCCCCATTAATATTTAATAATTTGTGGGGCCAGGTTGTATTATTGTGGTTCTGGGGACAAACCCAGGGATGTGCACAGGTAAGCACATGCTTTGCCACTGAACTAAACCCCCTAATCCTCATAATTCTGTTTTAGTGTGCATGAGTAGTTTGCTCAGTTTATAAACTCACAGTCCTATTGTCTACTTAGAAACCGAGTTTATTTCTCCTAACTGGTGAAGTTTATTTTAAATATTTCTAGACACATTGTTTCTAAGAGAAAAGGCATGGTTAATATGAACAGTCTGACCAGCCATAAGAGAAAATTCAAGTCAGAGATGCTGTTGATTAAAATGGGTGCATGCCATCAATTGTTTAAATTCAACTTTGCATGCTTTACTAAGGTGGTTTTAACATTCGAAACAGTAGAGCTTTGTGCTTAGGCATATTAGCATGCCTGAGTGAGATAGTTAATTCTACTTCATAGCCTTTTGTGTAAGGTTATGTAGGTTCTGTAATGAGAAGGTGCTGGGAATATTGGAGTAGGTTATTCATGCGCCAATTCTTTGTGGCTTACGTAAGAGTAACTCTTAATTTTAGTTAAGAGTCTATTCTTGTAGAAAGGTTACCATGTCATTTCACTAAAATAACCATATAGAATATAAAGTAGATACACATATATAAAGAAATTTGTTTGTATATAAGATATATCTCAGTAAAAGTGTTCATTAAAATGAATTTTAAAATACAGAAACCTGGTGCTTGGAAGATGGCTTAGGAAGCTAAGAATGCTTGCTGCTCTTCCAGAGTTCTCAAGTGCAGTTTCCACACACGTGCGGGCAGCTCATAATCACCATCAGTAACTCCAGCTCCAGGGGACCCAGTGCTGTCTCCTGGCCTCCTCATGTACCCATGTGGAATATACTCAGATACATATACATACACGCACATGCACACACACACACTTCACATTCTTTTCTTAAAAATGTAGAAACCCAGACAAATGGAAGAAATGGCATTTCTACATTTTTTTTTTTTTTAGTTTTTGTTTTAAAATTATATGCCAGGCTTGGTACATGTTTGTAACCTACCACATGTATGATGTAGGATGAAGTAGGAAGATCAGGAGGTAGGAAGACCACTGCCGCATAGCAAATTTGAGACCAGTCATGTGAGACTCCATCTCTACAATGCCACTGTCATTGCTCTTTCGGAAGTGAAATCATTTTAACACAAAGACCATTTAGTATTTTTTCCTTGCTTTGTCTTGGTGATTTTCCAGCATTACTATTTTATATGCAACCTCTTGTTGGCTTATTGAGATACTTCTGTAGCAAAGTGTAGTTAGAAGAGGTTTAAAAGATTGATCACTCATTTTTGTGGGAGAATACAATAAAAAGTAACTAGAAATCAGAAGTAACATAAAAAAAATAGCAAAAGAAAGGCAGGCAGAAGTGGAAGAGTAATAAATGATCAGTCTTCTGTCTATTGACTTTGCATTCCGTCCATTGAGTCTCTGTCTACAGAATGACGTCTGGACATGGCTCATATATAACTCTTATGTGTCAGTGTGTCCTACAGTGGCGACTCTCAGGTCATTTCAGACAGGAACCCTTCCTTTAACATTGCTGCATTTTTCTGCCTTGAAAAAAAGTATCCAGTAAGAGTTTTTCTCTTTTTTTCCCAGCATCATAGGTAGTCGGTTTAAGCTACTTTCCCTTACTTGTGTCAGTTCACATGAGAAATGCTTATTTATCGTTAAGCACGAGTCTTTTGAATACTTCTTTGAGTAGTATAAGACACAACACGTGACTTAACAATTACTCTTAATTTTTAATTTGTGTTTCAATATCTTATCTGCTAGGTATGGCATTTCAAACATAGATGCAGCCATTGAAGGAGCATCAGACGACATGACGGTGGTAGATGCAGCTTCATTAAGACGTCAGGTAATTACTACCCCAAATAAAATATAACCTAAACTTATGTTCATGAAATATTTCAGAGTAATAGTTTACATAATTTTATGGTTTTTCTCTCCTGTGGATCCCATGAATTCAGGCTATCTAATAAGCCATAACTGATTTTTCTCAGATTCTTTAGAGATTTGGTGAAGCCATCATTCAAATGTTTCTGACCAACATAAAACATTGCTGCCAAAATGATTGATATAATCAGGCCAGTATCAAGGAATCGTGATGTAGCAGTAAACCAATCTAGTCCTGAATTGTTTTACTTTTGATAGGTAGACAGTCACTTTGGGGACCTTTGTTACTGTATATAATTTCGTCATTTTAGAAACCACTGCTTTGAATTTTCCCACTGCCTCTACATACATAGTTCATGACCCTGCCCATAAGCCCCGTCTTGTAATTGTACTTCTTATGTGCTTATTTTTCATATGCATTCCTGCTGTCTTTACATTCCCATGCAGGAAAGGCATATTTGATGTTCTCATTATGTCTGCCAAATATATAATAAAGACCTGAGTGACATATCAGAGGGCCCACTATAATAGGTCATTTGGGGCTAAGTATTAGAGTGGACTGAGAACAGTTATCCAGGTCCAAGACTACACAACTGAGACTCGTGGAGGAGGCAGAGAGAGGAGCGGCCATCCTCTGCTCCTTCTGCTGGGATAGACTCCTGACACACTTCATGTTCCTGCCAGAATGACATAGGGCAGCAGTGTCCTTACACACATTCCCTAACTCACATTTACAGAATGCAAATGAAGAAGCATATTTAAGTCAATTTAAGCAGTTGTAGGTAGTATTTTATTTTCTATTTATAGTTGTATTTTGATCCAAATAGAACTTTCTATGTAATAATTTCTTAGACAAGTTAATGTACTATTTTCTAAAATTCTGATTGCTGTATTCATTAGTACTATTTTGTATTTGTCTTTCACTTAGATAATCAAATTAAATAGACGTCTGCAACTTCTAGAAGAGGAGAATAAAGAACGTGCTAAAAGAGAAATGGTCATGTATTCAATTACTGTAGCATTCTGGCTGCTTAATAGCTGGCTCTGGTTTCGACGCTAGAGGTAACCTCAGCATTCACATATATTGTCTCAACACCTGGAAATATAAAGGATTTGCAAACTTCATTGTTTCTGTCTTTGCATTGTATGCTGTTTTAGGGACCTGTTCTGTTACTGATCTGCATTCAGCTAGTTCTGCAGTGGCACCTACACACTCTCCTTTTGCATGTTTTGTAAATAGGCTCTTGGTTTGTTTGTTTGTTTTTAAAGAAAATCATTTTTTGGGGCCTCATCAGTCTGTACAGCTAATTCTCTAAAAGGAAATGACAGTCATAAAGAGTGAGTTTAGAAAACTATATGTAAAAGAAAACAGTGTTGCTCAAATGATTAATTTCTTTGATAGATGCTTTTTGTGTCTGCATCACAACGTTAATGCTTTTGAAGTCATAGTCTGGTGCAGCACTTAAGAAAAATCAAACCACCTAATTCTTGATCACCTGTACAGAGGGCGTGTAAAAACTCCTAATGATTCAGCAGTTTATCTGTGTGCAATATGTTGTTCTGATTTTCATCTTAGTTTTCTATAAAATATGTTTTTACCAAGTCCATGTGTGAATAATTTAAAAACTAAAAAAATAAAGTATAAATGTAGTGTACTTAATAAAATGTCAACCAAAGCAATGTCTATGGAAAGATTTATTTCATAAATGGTACTGTGGGCTGAGTATCTTATTTGAGTCTTTCTGCCCTGGGATCAAATAGTACATTAGTGACATGTGGGTCAGAAGAGCCTCCTGGGTTTCTCAGATCTCCATCCTGACGCTAGGCTTGCTGCCACTGTAAATGCTAATTTACTAGATCTGTGGAAGTGATTCAGGTTTTTAAAACAAAATTAAACAGCTTTATAAAACCCTTTATCCTTTTTTTTATTGTAATATTTGCTTGCTAATACACCAAATCTCATAAGTATTAAACATGAGTAAAGCCAAGGTTTGGGAGCCTTTAATATTCAAAAGTATGTTTCTTTTCAAGAGCAAGTAGAATCCAGCTAGGTGCAATATTCCATACACATCATGAGTTACTTTTGCACCACGGGGTTGAAGACTTAGGTAGATTTGACTTTGATGTTCTTGCTTCTCCTTTAATCCAGGAGGAGCGTTCTTTCTTGTACTTAGTGTGACTAAATTGATAAATTAAATGTATAACTTCTTTTGCTGAGCAGGCATGAAAAAGATTTCACAAACAGGCTAGAAGTAAAAGGAACTCCTGGGAGATTAATGTAAAAGCTGTTATTTTTCCTGATGGTTGTTACAAAGACCTAAAACATTTTTAGATAGAATGTCCTACAGTGATCAGGAAAAAGTTGTTGATTACCCAGGGGTCAAGGGCTTTGGAGGGTGTATTAAAAGGAACAGATTCCATTCTAGTCAGGATAGTCAGGAATATTTTCTAAATACTTGAACAGAGACAAATGGAATTATCAATAAACAGAGATGTAACATGAGGGCCTGCTTGTTGGGGTTTCTGTCCTGCCCAGTTCCCACAGTCATTAGGTCCCAAAGATAATCACACAGAGGTCTACATAAGTTATAAACTGATTGGCCATATAACTACATATAACTACATAAGTTATAAACTGATTATTATAAACTAATAAGCTCAGGCTTATTAACTCTTATAACTTATATTAACCCATTATTCTTATCTATGTTAAAGACATAGATACCGTTTTCAGTGGGGCAGGTCACATCCTGTTTCTTTGGTGTCTGAACAGGACTGGGGAAAGAGCTTCCTTCTTCCCAGAATACTCCTGTTCTCATTGCCCTTCCTCTACTTTCTGTCTGGTTGTCCTGCCTATACTTCGTGCCTGGCAACTAGCCAATCAGCGTTTATTTAAAACATAATTGACAGACTATAACAGTTCTCTCCCGCACCATAGAGAAAAAAGATTCTAGAGCCTGGGGGTAAGATACAGACAGGACTAATGCGCATAAAGAACCAAGAGGAACAGAAATGATCATATCACTTTCAGAATCCCAACACTTGTCTTTCTGCTTTTGGAAATATTTTAGAAGCATTTTCTGTTGCTGAGGAATTGACAGATTAAGGGTGGTGATGCGAGAGAGAAGAAAGATACTAAATAGTGAGGACTTTTGGTTGGCCAAACAACACAGCAGATAAAGGTGCTGTCAGATCCTAGGACCTGAGTGTGAAGTCAAGAACTGACACCCGGAAGTTGTCTTCTGGCTTCCATAAGCTCTTTGGTGGGCACGCACATCCACACACATCATAAGCACACAGAGAAGTGTGTAAATGTAGAAAAAAGGTTTCAAAGAATGAAGATTTCCTAGTTTGGATATCAAATCAATGACCAAATGCCCTCAAAAGATGCTGACTTCAGGTGGTCTGTGTGCTTTAGGTATTCAATTTGTAGCATCAGTTCCCAAGAGACTAAAGAACAAAGAAAGAACCTGGCAGCCATTTTCTATGATGATGTCACTCTCAGAGGCGTTCTCTCTCTCTTTCTCTCTCTCTCTGTCCCTCCCTCCCTCCCTCCCCTCCTCCTCTTCCTCCTCCTTCTTCCTCTCTCTCTCTCTCTCTCTCTCTCTCTCTCTCTCTCTCTCTCTCTCGTCTCTTTGTTTTTCTGACCAAGCAGAGATCTTTCCAGGATGATGAGTAAAGTCCAAGACCCATCTCAGGTCCTAATTTGTTTACTCAAGTACCGTGAGCTGGCATTTGTTTTACCTGTTTTTATTTCTTGTCTGGTTAGCAGTTTGATATTAATTAGTAAGCATTGTCTTCACTAATGTCTGGGTGCTGAAGATTACATTCATTCAGCAGTATACTTAGCTTGGCACTGCCTTGTACCAGTACTCTGATTACACCGGAAGTTAGTAAAATATATGTCCTAGCGCCCATGGAGCTTGTGGTCTAATGTGGGACAGCTCAGTGTAGCAGTGTAAGAATCACAGATGAAGAGCGCTGACTGCAACCAGGCAGTGGTGGTGCACGCCTTTAATCCCAGTGCTTGGGAGGCAGAGGCAGGCAGATCTCTGAGTTTGAGACTAGCCTGGTCTGCTGATGTGGGAAGTCCTGTATATGTGTTGCTTTTCTTGGTTAGTGAATAAAGAAGTTGCTTTGGCCTGTGGCAGGGCAGAATAGAGCTGGGGGGTGGGGGGGTGTGCTAAACTGAATGCTGGGAGAAAGGTGAAGTAAGGGAGACACCATGTAGCCACCTGCATGAGACAGCCCTCCTGGAATTTTGCTGGTAAGCCACAGCCACATGGCCATACACAAATTAACAGAAATGGGTTAATTTAAGATGTAAGAGCTAACCAGTAAGAAGCTAGAGCTGCTGGGTGGTGGTGCTCGTCTCTAATCCCAGCACTCGGGAGGCAGAGGCAGGCGGATCTCTGTGAGTTTGAAGCCAACCTGATCTACAAGAACTAGTTCCAGAACAGGCACCAAAGCTACAGAGAAACCCTGTCTCGGAAAAAAAGAAGAAGAGGAGGAGCAGCAGCAGCAGCAGTAACTAGAACTAATAAGCCACGCAATGATTTAATTTAGTGTTTAGTAACAAGTGTTTTTGTATGGCTATTTCAAGTCTGGGCAGCCGGGAACAAACAAACAAGCAGCCTCTACCTACAGGCTACAGAGCAGGCCCCAAAGCTACAGAGAAACCCTGTCTTGAAAAAACAAACAACAACAACAAAACAAAACAAAAAAAGCACTGGCTGTTCTGCCTGAGGACCCAGGTTCAATTCCCAGCTCCAACATGATGACTCACAACCATCTGTGATGTCAGTCTGGGGACCTGACTGCCTCCTCTGGCAGTGCACACAGATAACGCACAGCAGACATATACCCAAAAGAAAAGAAATGGTAACACACCATTGTGTTCAGTTCTCCAGAGAAGCATTGTCACGGTTTGTGGTTAGTGGATTCAGTTAGAACCCCTTGTGAGATGGGCCTGTAGGCATGCCTGCGGGGGGGGGGGGGGGGGGTTGTCTTGATTGTGTTAATGTAAGAAGGCTTTTCTTAATTGTTGGCAGAACTCCCAACCCCCACCCCCAGCATGTCCTGGATTGGATTATATAAAGTGGGAAAGAGCACTGTGCACCGGCAAGCATTCACACCCCCCACCACTCCCCATCCCCCGCTGCTCTTTGACTGGCTGGCTGTGACCAGCTTCAGCACAAGCTCCTGCCCCCTGGACTTCTGCCGTGGTAGACTGCCTTAAACTGGCGGCCAAATACACCCTTTCTTCTTCCTTTGCTTTTGTCAGGATATTTTAATGATGCAGCTGGAGAAGATGCTAAGACGAGGGCCAAAGGAACCATGCTCAGCATGAGATGGTTTGACAAAGTCTTCATAGCGATGGTCTGCTGAGGATGAAAAGGACTCAGTCGGAGATTAGACACTTGGGGGCCGGAAATACGGATCTGGAGGCGAGGTCTTAGTGGGGAGCAAAAGTGGGGAAAGGCTAATGAATGAAGGAATGGGAAGGAGTGGTTCTTAATCTTTTTAATTTTGTGGTAGACAGACAGAAAGACCTTCCTTCATGTTTCAGGAGAACTTCCTGGCTTGGGTGAGTGTGGCTTGGTTAATTGTGATCATGTACACAGGAGACGGTAAAAATATCTTGAAGCTAAGCCTTCAAGTATTACTAAGTGGTGGTGGTGGGAGGGGTTGGAGAGAAGGTCTTGATGCATTTTGAGCTAGAAAAAGGCTTCCAAGTTCTGGATGTACTCTTATGTGGACATTTGTAATTGTTTGTAATTTTTGTAAATGTTTGTAATTCAGTTCCCGTCAAGGTTTTTTGGTTCGGGTTTCTTTTTTTTTTTTTAGATTTATTATAAGTATTTTGCCTGCCATGTAAGTAAATGCATGTGAGCCTGCTGCCCGCAGAGGCAGAATAGAGCTCCGGGTCCTCTGGAATTTAGAGACAATTGTAAGCCACCATGTATACACTGGGACTTGAACCCAAGTCCTCTCTGCAAGAGCAGCGAGTACTCTTAAGTGCTGAGCCGTCTGTCTAGCTCACTCCGGAAATCACTTCCTAAGACTGATTGATTTGTGTTTGTGTGTGCTTGGTTGCCCTGGAGTCTAGAAGAGGACACTGGGCCCCTGGAAGCTGGAGGAGTTTCAGGCTGCTGTGACATGCCACTGTGAGCCCTGGGAACCAAACCTCAGTTCGCAGGAGCAACAAGCGCCTGTCTGAGGAGCCAGCTCTCCCGCCCACTTTCCAAGTCATAAGCCCCGTAAAGCTGAGATAAAAATTGAAATCAATTGCAGGAGGGATGACATTCAGAAAATTGTAGGTTTTTCGTTTTTTCTGTTTCATAACATTTTAATACAGCAAATACATCTTGTTACCTTTTAAAGAACAGCATAAATAGAAACCAACTTTTAAAAGCCTGGTTTTTTTTTTTTTTCTTCACGGTATTACGGTAAACCATGAGAAGATGTAGGAAGGCAGAGTAGAGTGAATTGCCATGTGCCTGTCAGCTAAGTACAGCGTTTCTCTGTCAGCTTCTTAAGACCAAGACACCCACTTCTATAACCATCAAACTATTATCAGGTCTAGCAAAAGTTTTTTTCGACATACACAGGGGAAAAAAAAAAAAAGCTTCACTAACTTCTCCCCAGTATCAGCCGCTGATGACTTATTTCCAGG